GTAGCACCAGACGATAGTTCAGTACTACTGTTAATCGATATCTTTATCCAACTGGTATTCAGCATGATTTTTGTCGTAGCCCCTGTTGAATAAACACCGATTAATGCCCTTACTGTAGTCGTGCAGGATTTAAGTAGCGCCCTAGCAGAGGCCAGCTGATAGACGGGTGGCAAGTCGATGATTATTGAATATTAAGAGCAGCATTTTGTCATGATTATTGCTGTTGCTACGGCTATCACAATCACTGATTTAATGAGCTATTTAATTATTATTATTATTAAGCTATTTAGCTATTTAATGACGTCTCGAATCGCTGCTTTCAATGTCAACTACCAGCTTTAACGATTCTTTCTTCCACCGTTATTCCCACACAGTGCTGGCCAAGAGTCGACTTCAATATCAGCACTGACTGTAACCTCACGAGGTCTTAACTCGTCCGTCTTTTTCCGGTGCCATCTGGGCATTGGGGTGGCATTCAGTGCAATGTTTTCGTGATGTTGTCAAGCCAGAGAGTGCGAAACATCATATTTCGCAACTATATTTCCTAAAGGTGCATTAATGTTGCTTGCAACACCTGTTCTACAAACTAATATGACCGCAGTTCGTTTTGAATCATTTGATTAATGACAAAATTCAGCACAGAGTGCATAATATAAAGCTTAAAGATATTAAATGAATTCCGTGGTTCTGGTTTGTGCAATCATATTCAATTAGTCTGAGGTGAAACAAACGTTTATCATTTTGATAATCTGAAACCAGAAGTCTTTCAAAGGATGTAACCGCTATACCTTGGTTTCTGATCGTGCCTATTCAGTATTATTACACACCAGAACTCATAATTAATAAAATAGTTTTTAATAAAACTTCAGCTTTTTATTCTGGGTCCGTATTTATGCAGATAGGTGGTTGAACGATTCGTGGTTCAGGACACCAAATACAGTAACCCTACATGAGATCACTGAAGGGCTCTGCTTCAGTCAGACCAATTTTTCTGTCATAAAGGTCTGCTAATGCCGGGGTCCTTGCGTATACTGGCAGTGGAACACCAGATGTGCAATGATTACACATCATTTGTGGTTATTAGTGAAAGCTGGGGTACAATCACGAATCTGATGTGAAAAATCTAGTCCATATAGCAAAGATCCGATTATATTTTTAATGTGAACTTTACACTGGGTTTGTTGGTAAAAATTCTGGTGAAGCAGCTGAACAGAACTTTGTTGCAAAGTATGTGCCAACTGGCAAACGAGAGAATCGCTCTCTTGTTTGGTTCAAGTCCCTTCAAGCCAGCCTAGCGCTGATGATGCTACGGTGTATATAGTGAAACGCGTTGGCAATAAACGTTTTACCATCTACTGTGCTTTGTGGCCTGAACCATGAGTCGTTCAACCACCTGTTTAAATAGCTTTAAATTTACAGTTTGCCTCTTATGCTAATTGTTGGTCAGTTGTCAGGAGAGTCAAGGCCGACTTTGTCAGGTTTATTAACTTATGCAAGAATGATGTTATCAGCATCTTACAGAATGCTACTGCGTAACATAAAAACACAAAAATTAAAACCTCCGCCGTGTAAGAGCAGCCTTTATTTCCTATGATAACTGACAAACCGGGATCTACGCCGGGGATCCACATTTAGGTCAGGCCTATCGCAGCCGCGAAGAAAATTATTTCGGCCGCCATGTGCTTATTAGCCACAAATCTATTCTAGTTGACTCTGCTGAATCGTCTTTACGGTTATTATTTCTGTCAGTAATCAGACAACGTTACTGACGAAAGCATTGTGTGAGTCTGGCAGAGCAGCCGGAGAAATTACCAACAGGCAGAGCCTTCGTTGTCCAACAGGGTGCCGTCTAAGATTTTATGAAAGTTCGGCCATGTATAAAACTGACAGCTTCAATATCCGTCCAATGATAACGCATTGGAAAAAAATATGCAGACACCGGGGAACGGGTAAGTCGATTTTGTTTCTTCTGAAGCGGTAGGAAGAACTGAGCATTAGTTCAAATCGAAGCTGCGCTTGAAAAGTACTCAGTTGTTTTATTGATTCATGCTCATGCAATATGAGGACGTGCGAGTTTTCAGCGTCAGTTCTGGGATGAGTAAAATGAGATCCGTATACAGCGAGCAAACGATTAGTGATTTCTCATAGGAAAACCGGAGGCCTCCTGAGGGCGAAGTCGACTTGATGCTGCATTCGATATTTGCTGATCTCCTGCAGTGTGTAGATAAACAAATGCACACTGACTTAGGAGGGAAATATTTTCAGTGCCTACAGCGCGGGCCAAATGCTAGGCTTTTCGTAATGGGTTAGCTTTTAGATTAATCATATCTTAATGTATCTGAAATGGCAGCTATATTTTTTGAGAATCGTAGAATAAACTAAAAGTGGATCAGTCAGAGCAAACGAATGCTTATCCTTTCGAATCACAGAAGCAGCAATATTAATGTCTGCAACGTTCCTGATGCTGCGCCAGTATTTTGCTTCGGTAGAACAAAACCGAGTCTGGAGCAGAGGCCGTCGAGACCCTTGCCAAAGGTAGTAGGTGTTTCGCCCCTCTGTATTTCTGGAAGCATTCGGAACACGTGACCGGACCATCGCAGCTGTGACGTCTCAGACTGAAGAAGCAACGGCTGTACACAAAAGTAGATTACTCGAACTCTGTCGAGACGCGTGAACTCAGCGATTGTTCGCATAAACGCTTATTTCAGCCGCTTCCATCAAGGATCGCAGATTTCATAGCAGCTCCATATTGACCGTATGAATTAACACGAGTTGCAAGTTTAATTGAGCCCTTTACCCCTTCACAGATTTGGCAAAGTTTTAGATTGAGTGACTTTGAGGAAGATGTGAGTTCCATTTTACAATTCAATAACAGGGCGCCGTTTGGGACACTCCTCCTTCACGTATTCCTATGGTGTGGCGTCAGTATTCGTCGCTTTGTCGTCGTACAGGAGTGCTTCTCTGCCTCTGCCTTTCAAGATTGTATCCACATCATACAGTCGTGTTTCCAGTGTCTCACAAAGTAGTGTTCGGTACTCTCTTGAGAGAATGAAATGCAACTGACGCTGCCGGAGCTCAAGCCGGCGATCTTTCAACTGCGACACCAGTGCGTCCGCAGACCCTAACTTTTACAACTAAGAAATCTGACCTGCAGCCGATCAACATCAGCTGGGAGGAGATCCAGACATCATTAATCTGTGTACTCCGCGCTTGACTCTAATACCCCAGATTACTATGACACCAACAACAGCAATTGCGAGTCTGACTCTCAAGTGAGAGAAGCAGCCCTGATTGAGTGAGTGTTAGACCACCTGAGATCTGAGGAACAACCTCAAAATTTTTTCCTCACGATGGAACAGAAATGTCTGTGGAAAGATTCACTTTCAGTGATGAGATTTCCAAAGATTGAGTAGCTAATGTCAAATCCATCAATCCGTGTTATAAAATGATAAATACTGAATAGTGAATTGCTCGCAAAGCCAATCCAATCGGTAAAGAAGAATCTGCTTGGGGAAAAGCGGTTATCTGTCAGAGCTCATCAATCAAACGATTGAACTAGAAGCTATGAAGCAGCAGAACCCGTTGAACAGTGAAACGACAGCACGCAAACAGTCGTCATTCGTTCTCAATGATAAGCCATGAGGAAAGCGTGTGTACACTTGAGGTAAGATTATTCTGTTGCTCTGAAAGCACGCTTCTCAATCAGCGCCTATTTTGATGAAAACCATCGACACGCAGGAGGAAAAAGCAAAGCTCGATCTACATTCTGCGTTGCGAATCCGAGGCGACGTACATCGCAGAAACCGGCAATGGAACGAAGGACAAAAAGGGAAAAACATAATCACAACTGCTACTACTCTGTGAAGATGGAACAGTGCAGATCTGATGCCCTGTGGCAAGACCTAAAATGGCACAGCAGAAAACAGACGAAAGGC